ACATCAGGAATCATAATACTCAAAAACCAGTAGGAGAACACTTTAACCTGTCTGGTCATTCAATGGCAGACCTGCGGGTGGCAATTTTGCAACAGAAAAGCTTCAAAAACAGACTCCAATGAGAAATTGCTGAGCTGGAATTGATATGCAAACTAGATACAATCAACTTAGGCTTGAATAGGGACTGGGAATGGCTGAGCCATTACAAACATTGAATCTATCTCCCCTTGTAAGTATTCTCACACTTCTTATCAAACTGTCTGTACTGGGCTATCTTGATTATCACTTCAAAAGTTTTTTTCTCTTATGTAATTGGCCTCTCAGAATTGGTAAGACAACTCCCACCTTTTCATGCTCTCTGTATGTATATATCTCCTCAATATATGTTCCATTCTATGCATCCGAAGAAGTGGGCTGTAGCCCACGAAAGCTTATGCTCAAATAAATTTGTTAGTCTCTAAGGTGCCACAAGTACTCCTGTTCTTTATACAACATATGAAAGAGTATCAGAATCTGGTCCATAGATGGGAATGGACATTTGAGGGCTATAAAATACATATAAGGGGGCAGAGGGGAGGGGGAAGAGGAGTTATATATAAACACATCTTTTAAAAATGATTTTTGCTTATTTTATTACACATAATTGGTATGCATTTATTGCTCCTGTAATTTGCCAGGTCTGACAGCCCCAAAGATTGAAATTCTCTTATCTAGGCAGGATATGGACAGCAGGGCCTGGGCAGCAAATTGGAAAGTTTCTGCAAACTGATGCTCTAATATGTGTTGAGACCGCTTCTCTCAAATGGCAAAAGGATCATAATGGTTACTTAGACAGGGAAGAGAGATGAAAGAAATTCACATAAGCATTCTTTGGCGCATAAGTACATCTTGGATAAATATGCTGCAATGTCATGCAAACTGCTTCAACTTTAAAAATGTGGCCTCTCCTCTATAGCTGCTGTAAGGAACCTAATCAGTGGGAAGTGTGGTGCTGCTATTTGGTATGTGGACTCATGCCTGGGGAATCTGAATGTAGCAGGTCAAGATATGTAGATCTGTTTTCTACAACCCCTTGATCATATGCCAGAGTTCAATATCCTCCATGAGACTCGTTTACTGAAGTGATGCTGGGGTCAGATGTCTAAATACTTATGGACACTTGTTCAAGTTCAACTTCAGGAGCTCCAAAACGGGTGACTGCCTTGTTGCTGAGGGAAGATGTAAATGTAAACATCCCCTTTCCTCAGCAGCAAGGCAACTGCAGCTGCCATCTGTACATGTCCCTGCAGCTGTGGAAGTGAACAGGTGGCAGCAGAGTAAGGCAGCAGGACAGCAGCAGCAGCAGCTTTTTCTTAAGGTTTCCCCACCAGAGAGAGACTGCCCACTGGGTTTCTCTTCTCTTTAAGCTCCCTAAGCTAAGTTACAGGAGCACTGACACGCTGGTGCCTTCCCTCTTAGCAGCAGTGGGAGCAGAAACCAGGGGAGAGGCCTAGTGTGACAGAGCACTGCACCCCAGGCCTGCAGGAAACATCCCAAAATTCTCTTTACATTGGTCCCACCCCAAAATTCACTTTCCTGCAAACCTCACTCATTCCCAATGTCTCTGCCAACCAATAATGCATAATAGTTTGGCTCTAGCATATATCACAGGATTAAGAAGCTGTTATGAAAACTAGAGTTAAAAGAGCAAAGCTATAGCAAATTAGATCTGACTGGATTCTGATATTTTATCAGCAACACTTTGCTTAACCCCACCATGTTATCAGGTTCCTTCCCTGGGTTTAGGATTTTATCTCCTGAGGTACAAAGCACAAAGCCCTGTATTTTAAAGTGTGAGAGCTTTTCCCGGAGCAAAAGCAAGTAGTGTACTTTTTTAATATGCTTTGAATTTTGGTAGTGAAGTTCATAGAAAGTTTGTGCACTATCAGAACAAAAAGATTATCTTCAGTTCACACAGAGAATGGGGAATAAAAATGGAGATGACACTTCAATTTATTGAGCCCTCTTTGGAAACCTCCCATGGAAGGTCACATGGTCAAAACCTCTTAGTCAACTATATTTTCAGTTTTCAACACCAGTTTAAAAAACACCACCTTTTCTTCCATTTGCAGCCCACACACTAACAGGGCTTCACTTTCCTTTCCTTTGTTCCCAGATTATGCAACAAATATAGTTTATCTTAAAAAAAAGAATTCTAATCCTATAAAGGAGTAAATTGTTATGTCACGTTCCTTATAGCTTAAGATACCCAAAGAATAAGGTTTT